TGTTGTCTGTTCCTGGATTTGGGACAGTAGAGCCAGCCCTGTGCGTGGCCTGGCAATGTGTCTGCAAAGACATTTTTCTCTCATGTTTGCAGCCTGCCAGATACTGCGCCGCCTCAGTCTTGGCTGTTCTGAACCAAATGTGGCACCTTTAACCGTCCTTCAGTATAGAAAATAGGCACATTTCCATCATACTAGCATTCTAAATGATGGGATTTTAAGGCGGGTAATGTTAACCACTAAAGAAAGGCAACTTTAAAGAAGGCAGTACTTCAAGTTCCCACAACTTATCATAAATGCACAATCTTTAGTGACTGGCACTAGAAATATAATACCTTGCCTATATTGATGCTGCTTCTTATAGAATTAAAATATTCACTGTTAAGAGCAAAAACGATAGGCTCAAATTTGTTTGCAACTAAAGTATTGCACGTAAGAGTGGATTTTCCTTGAGTAAATGCATTACTTTTACCTCAATTTAAATGAATAAATTCACAACATCCCAGTCTCTTTCTCAGTGTTATTTATCACAACAGAATATACTGACATGTTTCTTAAAATAGAGAAATACTGCAAAATAAATGGGTTATCTTATAAATTATTACACTCAGAAATCTATAAATAACACTCTAAAATATGGATGAGAATAGATGGTATTACTAAATCAAATACTCTCTAAAAATGTTATCATCTCTACTTCAGCTTAACAAGTATCTTTTGTTAATGTGTTTTATAGTTTTCCTAATCTAACTAGTTCCTTATTGAATTTGGCCACTTTGGGGCACCTGGGTGGCTCAGTGGTTGAGTGTCTGCCTTTGGCTCAGGTAGTGATCCTGGGGTCCTAGGATCAAGTCCTGCACTGGGCTCCCTGCAGGGAGCCTGCTTCTCCCTCTACCTATGTCTCTGCCTCTCTCTGTCTCTCATGAGCAAATAAAATCTTAAAAAACAAACAAACAAACAAGAATTTGGCCAATTTATTTTTCTTTTTAGTGAAGTTTACCTGCTACTTGATGACTATATTAGGTGACTCAGACTGTGCTTGCTAAGTTCCAAGACCATTACTATGAATCTAACAGCACAACATCTTAACCATCTGCACTGTTGATTTTTGAATCTTTTCTAAATAAGGCATCCATAATACACACAAGTATTATACTCAGGTCTCAAACTCCTTTAGAAATCATTAGGACTTTTCAGTGACACTTTTGCATTAAACTTTTAAGTTGATTAGAAGTGCATATAACACAAGATAATCTTGAATAGCACTTGTCTAAAATACTACATCTTCTAGAATACATAAATTGAACCTCCATACAAACCTTAAAGATGCTGACATCAGTATGAAGACAACTATTTTATTTAGGGTGTTAAAAACTTTATCTGAACCTGTGATTCTTTTTCTAGTTGCTCTTCAAGTCCTCACTAAGGTTACTACTTGGAAACTGATTCACTTTCAGTATCAATAAAATTATGGGCTGACCAAAATCAATTTTTAAAATAAATATAAGTAAAACATTGCAAAATTCATGCATAATTGTGGTACTTTTGGTTCTTTAGGGAGTAAAAGAGGAAATGTGCTTAGGGAAATCAAAGATGTCACATTAGGACAGGGAGCCCAAGAACTAAGGGTCCAATAGCAGTAACATGGCTATAAACCTGACTTGAATGAGACAGAACTTGCTAATAATTTCTGTGCTATGGAAATCCTGAAAAAGTGTCCTAGCAAACTGAATCATCACCCCCCGAATATATCCTTTTTATAACTGAAACTTTGATATACTAAATTTGTAAATATTTATGTATACTGAGACTCACTTAAACCATATTCAAAAGTAATTTGGTTTTTGTCCTTAAAGGTAGAAATTTTTTATCTTAGGAACTTTTTTTTTAAAAAAAAAAACATATTATTTATTCATTCATGAAAGACACAAGGTGAGAGGCAGAGACAGATGTAGGAAGAAGGAGAAGCAGGCTCCTTGCAGGGAGCCGGATGTGGAACTTGATCCCCAGACCTGGGATTATGCCCGGAGCCAAAGGCAGACAGACACTCAACCTCTGAGCCACCAGGTGTCCCCATCTTAGGAACTTTTAAAACTCAACTTCTATGCAATCAACACTTTGGCTCTTCTACTTGTATATCTCTAGAGCACTGTAGAGCTCTGTAGGGGAAAAAGTTATCTGACCATATTAATTACTTTAATATAGGAACATCTCTACTTTAAATGATTTTAGTAGATAATAGAGTCAAGGAACATTTAAAGAGATTAAATAGGTTTCCCTGTGCTTCTGTGCCTGGCCTTTTTTCATAGTTTTACTAATTCTTGCTAGGCCATTTTTAATCTGATTTCAGGTTTACTTATATGTTGACAACTCTTTATCATTAACCTCAGCCAACTGCTTTTTCCTGAACTTCAGGCCTGTGTGAACAATTAACTAGGGAACCTTATTAAGGGACTGAAAGAATTCATTCAGTCATTCATTTAACCCCGCACCCCAATATTTTGAGCATCTACTGTTTGCCAGAGGGTTTTTTTTCTTTTTTTTAACATTAAGGATATAGCAATGAACCTAACAGACAATAGTCTCTGCCCTTATTGACTTTACAATCTAGACAGATAAGTGAAACACTGAAATGAAATACATATAGGAAAAAATGAGACAACGAAGGGCTCGGAAGGAAATCTTGGAGAAGTTATTTAAAAAAAAAAAAAAAGACTGGCTTGGAAGATCTCACTGAGATGAATTTTTAGCAAAAACCTTGAGAGTGAGGAAGCGAGCATACAGAAACAGGTAGAAGAGTATTTCGGATGTCCTGCAGGCATCCCCCCCCCCCTTTTTTTTTGAGAGTGGTGGCAGGGCAGGGAAGCGCAGAGGGAGAGAAACAATTTAAGCAGGGTCCAGGGAGTTGGACTTGGGTCTCAATCTCATGACCCTGAGATCGTGACTGAGCCAAAATCACAATGCTTAACCAATTGAGCTACCCTGACACCCCCATAATGTAACTTTTTAAAACCAGGAATTCTTGAAGATATTTTGACTACCTTATAGCCAAAAAAAATACACTTTTATTTCAAGAAGTTTTATAGTTAAGCTGAATTTTGGTCAATTAACTCTCTTGAAAGACCTTGAAACTCAAATGTTTTTCTCTATGACTGGCAACCCCAGCCAGAGACTTTTACTAGTACAGGGAGAATAACTATTATCTATGTTTATCAGATTTTATTATGCACAGTAATCAACTGGAGATGTTAGGATACAGACTGACATTCAAGAAGGTCCATGATAGGTCCTGGATTCTAGTTTCTGTCAAGCTCTCAGGGTCTCAGTCCATAGTCTCTGTTGGTGGTCCATGGACCACACTTTTGAATAGTGAGACCTGAATCAGTAGTTCTCAGTCTTGATACCTAATGGAATCACCTGAGGAGCTATAAAAAACCATTTCTAGGGTGAAAGGTTACTGAGTCTGGGATCTAGTCTGGGTAATGAATTTCCAAAGCTCACAAGGTCAGGCTAACAAGCAGCTATATTTGAGAACCTATGACCTAAAATGTATTGGTCAGATTTATGCATAGGTTTTATTTCTCCTTGTTTCTATCACAGTAGATAACAGATCTAGGAATAACCAGTACTGCATAAGTTATGAGAGTAATATATGCCCCAACTCTCCAAATTCTTACTGAGAATACAAATCATTATCAATCAGGTTGTAATGTCAAGAATCTCAGTTTCATTTCTATACTCCTACCAAATAATTTAATAACATGTTTTTCATAGTATTTTAAAGTTAAATATTCATGGATTTATAATAAAATGACAATCTATTTTTAGATTAAGAGGTAGATATGTAAAAATGTGATTTTAAAGTATATGGAAGTGTCTATTTCTAATTACAGATTAAAATAAACTCAGATTAGTTAAATTTATAAAAAATAATCCCCAGACCTGGCACTTATCCCAGGAGAGATGCCCAGAAACAGAAAGGATTAGCAAAAGTTTACTTAGTATTTATACTCGAAGTAGGTACCAATGTGTTACAAACTGATTATCACTCTTCCTTCATAACGCCTTTCCTAATTCTTTTGCTAAACTGAGGTCTGTAAAAAGTAAGGATGCAATTCCATTCTAAGGATCCCTCCCTACCTCTTAAAATGCACATCCAAAATACCGAATGAAAATATTTTAAACTCAGGTATTAGCAGAAACTCCCTCATTACAGTAAAGAGTACTGGAGTACAAGTCAACTACCACATGCTACTAATGATGTAACTTAATCAAACTTTCTCAATAGACCTTCTCACATCTTAAAATAGGGTGTAGAGAGTCCAATAAGAATGTGCAAGCACAAACTAATGCCACATAGAAATATAAGATAGCACTACATATATCTAGGATAAGCCAAATAATACATAAATAGCGTGGCAGTGCAAATAAATGGAGCCCAGAAATGAATATTTTCAGCTTTAGCACTAGTCACATAACAAGCAAATCATGTATCTTAACTGCATTTTAAAAATAAAGATACCTCAAATAGCTTATCTTGAGAATCTCTAGATCAAAAGTCTATATCTAAAAATAACTGATTAAGGGGTCCTCTAAAGCAAGTAAGATTAATAGGAAAAAAAAAAACCTACCAAGAGTTTACTTGTAACATGACTGATTTAACAAGGCTCTTCAGACATTTTAAATTTGTCTTCTAGAAAAGTCTATTATTTGGCCATCCTTTAAAATAGCAAATTAAAAAAAAAGTGTAGAAGAAATGGAGAAAAGGGATCTTAATGCAAGAACACTACGTAGAATTAAAATAATGTAAACTTATTAGGATAATGAAGTATTAAACAGCTTTTTCTAAGGAAAACTTATTCAAAGTATGACATTTGGGATTTCATGATCTATCCCAAAGAATATACAGGCATTTTTTTTTTTTTATTAAATACAAGATATGTTTTCAAGCTCTGCAAATAACTCATAATTTCTTCAAAAATTATTCTAATACAGATGGTAGATGGAGATTATTTCATTTTAATTTATTGTTTAGTTTTAACACATATCCTGCCAATCACATGATACCTAGTGTGACCAAATACATGAGAAATCACTGTAAGAACCACAAAGTGCCTTGCAGCTTTTTGTCAGGATGCTAAGAAAATGTAACAACAGAGACACAGCTTGTCTCAATTATAAGGTCCAATCATTAATCTTCTTCAGAACTAGAATCATCCTCTTGATCAGAGAGTTCAGGGACAGGGAAGCGGAGAATGGCAGCTACTCCAGTCAACTGACTGAGCTGTTCTCCTGATACATGAAGACTAGAGAATATCCTAACCGTGCCTGCATTCTCTTTCACACTGTCCACCAGCTTCACATACCGGCTGCGGGTAGCGACATCCTGGTGCCTGAAAAGCTCATCGCTGATGAGCAATGTATCAATTGCCATAGCCTCATTGGCTTTCTCCACCTGCTTGAGTCCATAAAAAGCTCGGTCAGGTTCATGTTGTAACATTTTATAGAAGTCATCCAAGGCTTTTACTTCCCCAGCAGCTTTAGTGTCTGAAAGTCGGCTAGCTACAGAAGGGTCACAGAGGGCCTCTTTCAGGGAGTACTTGTGTCCAGAGGAGGCATGTACCTAGAATCATAATTATGAAAGTTAGACAAAAGAATCTCTGAGAGTACCCATTAATCAGCCTGCGATGACCTAGAGCCAAAAGCACAACTGAGGCTTTATATGTTTGAGGACTTAAGCAAAGTTTACTAGGTACATAAGGCCTTTTAACAACTCTCTTTTCATTTCATTGTCTCATTTACAATCAGACCGGTGAACCCCTTGTCCTCTTGTACTTTTCCCGGCTCTAAAACTTAAAGAGTAGTTTTATACAAATCCCTCTGCCCATTCTTAATTATCCTTGGAGAAGACTTTTTACCTGAAGGAACTTGGACCGGTTTTCCAGGAGCAGTTTGTTGTCGGTCTTCACTGCTTGTTGAAACATGTAGTCGCAGAACTGCTCCCTCACAAATCCTGGGCTGGCCACCAGGATGCACTTCACTACATCGAAGTTTATGTGGCGCTGGATAGCCTGGACCACCTGTTCATAGAATCGCTCCAGGGCCCGGTCATGCTGCGAACAGTTGCCTTTCCGTTTTCTAGGGATGTTCACCTCCACCTTGGCCCGAGTGAGGGTCATGCTGGGAGTGACTAAGCAGATATGGGCGAGGCCTTCCTGCATGACCACAGCCGCCACATCTGCACTCCAGGCCGGGTCACAGGCCTGCTCAATGCGCTCCAGAACCACACTGTCCCACTGTTTCTTGGCCAGGGTGAACTGGCGGTTGGGCTCCAGCTCGATGGTGTGGTAAGCCCCCATCTTGACATACTCATTTTCTTGGATGTTGGTCCCCTTAACCCGCAGCTGGCAGGCTTGAGAGTCAAAATCGATGGCCTCCACGCAGAGAGTGAGCGTAGTGCGCACCCGGTTGCTTCCTACGCTGCCCGTGGAGGACTCGGTCTGCACCTTGCGGATGGTGGAGGCACGCAAGCTGTCGCCCACCTGCACTAGATTGTAGGTGTGCCACATATCCTCAGGTTCCTCGGGGACGAGGGTCACCTGGCCCGCATTGTCTTTCTCAATGTCCTTCCTCACGAGCTTCATGACGCCGGCGGGGGGGGGGGAAGGGGGACGGTGTTCACAGGCAGAACGAGAGGACACGAGGGGGTCCCCAGTGGGAGACCGGCAGGGAGGGGAAAGCGGGTCTAGGCCGGGAAGGGGGCGGGGCCCGCGTTCCCGCAGGCACTAGCCCGGCGGGAAGGAAATACTCTAGTTCTGACTCAAGCGGCCGACGGGAACACTTACGGTGGCCCTTTTCCTAGTCTCCGCGCGCGCCGCGCGGGACCCCGCGAGAGACAGAGCAGCCGGCTTCTCCGAGGCTCCAGCCGCCAGCGCGGACCAGGCGGCAGCCGCCAGCAGAGCGCATGCGCAGCGCGCAGCCCGCCCCTCGGCGCACGTCTTACGTCCCCACGGGGTAGGCGGGGTCGCGGGGGGTCTCAGGCCCCCGGGGCGCAGGCGCAGGCGTAGTCGTCGCGAGGCGCGTCCGGAGTAAACCCGCCGGGGGAAGCGCTCGGAGGCGGCGGCGGCGGCGGCGGGTCTTTTATTTCAGTACTGAACCTGTTTGTGCAGACTCTGGGGACTATGTGTTGTTGTTGTTGTTGTTTTTCCCAGATGCGTGAAGTTGCCACTGTTTACCTTCTCTCCCCTTGGGCTAAATCCAGTTTCAAACCTTAACTAGAAGTAAAAGGAATCCTCAGAAGTGCACACTTGCCCTCGAAGTTCTCAAATGTGCTTTCGCCTTATCCGCACTCCAGCGCTGCACACCTGCTGGACTTGCTAGTTCCAGACCCGGTTTCTAAGAACGACCGGTCTCGACGGGTCTGGGCTCCGAGCAATCTGCCCAGCTGTTTGCCGCGCTTAGTCGCCGTGTCTGCACCGACCGACTTCCCCAGAGACAGAAGAAACCATCTGTGGAATTTACCCCTGCGTGGACCTCTCAGTTGCTTGCCCTGATGTCCTGGGAATCCCAGAAGCCAAAATTGGCAGTCTCCGCTTCACGCAGCTCAGGAGCCTGTGAAATACTTAGGTTGGGGGTTGGGTCGCAAAGCTTAGGCCTGACCCTCACTGCTAACGTCTAGCTGAGAGCTGAGGGTACTGGACGGAAGTGGGGAACATCTGATTTACTAGGACCAACAGGATTTAAAGAAAATCTGTAAATCACTTGGCGTTTTATGGTGGCGAGAGGTTGAAAAGTGAGGATTGCCTCTTAACAAGATCACTGAATAGAAAAAACCCCCTTCTTCCACTTCCAAGAAAACCCAGTAACTTTTGAGTAAGGAACTGATTGCACTAAAGCGTAAAGATGGGTTGCCTCTCCAAAGGACATTTACTAATAACTAGGAAAGAGAAATACTTTGAGTTGCTCCTTGATCACTTTTTTTAAAGTAGAATTTACCTCTCTGCAAAGCCTGACAAAGATTAAAAACCACAGAATCAGAATGGCAGGCATACAGTAGGATCTTAATAAGGGTTAAGTTTTTATTGAAGAGCTATCATTTATTGAATATTCACCAGGTACTTTCCTATACTCTCCTAATCCTCTTCTGTAAATATTTGTTATCCTCATTTTGTGGATTAGAAAATGAATTATGGGGAAATAAATGGATTCAAGATCACATAACCGACTTTTAAATTCAGACCTGCTTATTAACTCCACACCCTCTCCTCTATCCAGTGCTGCAAACTATATTATGGATGCTCAAAATCGTCTCTGCAATCACAAATTATGTGCTGTCATTCACTGCCACTTCTTGTCACTTTTACTAGTTAAAGACACACAGCTTAGGAACTAACAGGATCTGAAAGGCACAGTCCCTTTCTTGCTTTCATTACTTTTAAAAAAAATCTTTATATTCCTCCATTCAACATAGTTTTCCTTCCGTCCAGTCTAGGTCACCATTACAATCCTTGAGAAAAATCCAGTATTCTACTTTAGAAAACTATGCACATATTTCTACACTTTAAAACCTGTGGGAAACCCCCATTAACTGTTAATTCTGTGGTTCTTTTTAAAAGTTTATTTAAATCATAGGGTAAACTACGTTGATCTGTCTTTTTTTTTTTAAGACTTTATTTATTCATGGCAGAGAGAGAGAGAGAGAGAGAGAGAGAGGCAGAGAGAGAGAAGCAGGCTTCATGCAGGGAGCGTGATGTGGCACTTGATCCTGGGTTTCCAGGATCACGCCCTGGGCCTACGGCAGGCGCTAAACTGCTGAGCCACCCAGGGATCCCCCCCCAAGCTGTCTTTTTAAACATAAATGGGCTTCAGTGATTGAACATACTACAAAATTTTTTATAGAATTACTATTTGATCTGAAATGGCACTATTTTTTAGTAATTGTAGCTTACTGTTGAACAATCAGATGTTTTCCCCCAGATTTTGTGTGGTAACTTACTGTTTCCAGACTAATTACATTTTTATTTGGAGTTATTTGGAGTTCTCATTCCTACTAATTAAAATTCGATTCTCTAGCATTCAAGGCCTCCATGATTTTGCCTTACAAACTTTATTTTCCACTTGAGCCCTCCAGCATCCTATATTCCACAGGAGTAATCTTTGTTCCCCGTATATCCTGGGAACTGTCTACTTGTTGCCCTTAACTCTGCCATTCTCTCTACTTAAAATGTCACTGCCTCTCACTCTTGTCTCCATAAATCCTACTTCTTTTTAAGCACTAGCTTAAATGTTGTCTCACATTTGAAATCATGCATTATATTAATTGGAATATTAGTTTTTTCTTTTGTATTCAGCTCTTGGTGGATTCACCCTCATTCTTCCACTGAATCTTGAAAAGTCCCTTGCACATAGTAGGCACTTACATATCAACGATAAGCTTAGTGAATCAGGTGTAAAGTGTGGCAGCTATATGAACATCATCACAGAGTTCTTAAGTCATGATTTTGTAATCAGCTATGGTTCACTTAATAATGGTATGTAAGAAGTAATCCTATTTTAAAACTGCTGTAGTTATAGCACTTATGTAATAGCAGTATGCAGCATTTTCATTCTTTACCAAAATACACAAAATCATGAGGGGAAAAAAACATGATTTAGCTGTTACTTTAAATTATAATTTTATATTTACTTACTGGCTCTCTGAAAATAGAATTTATATCAGTAGCTTTATATTTTTCTATTTTATTTATATTAATCTCTCTAGAATTAAGAATATATATTTGATATAATTTCAGTGTCTCAAAAAGAGAACTGGGCTAGAAGTCAAACATCCTGGATTGTAATTCTTACCCTGTCAATTGTTTTTACTCTAACTTTTGGCAGCCCTTAGTCTCTTAGAAATGCTGTTCCTTTTACTTAAGAATAGAGGGTATTGAATTCAATAATTAAAACTGTCTCAAGATTATGCTGTAAAAATATTTAAAAAAAAGTATAACACTACTCATAATATGAGCCTATCACATTTACTTTCAATTTTTCATAGTACCTTTTGAATTTGATTGTTCCTTAGGCCCACTGCAGTGGTAAAAGATCAATACCAAGTTTAATAATTGCACACCAAGAGTCAGCAGTCATGAGTCTTGATCTTTCTAGCTAGATTATAGTAACTTTAGATAAGCCCCCTAACATCTACAAACCTGAACTTTTCATTCTATGTTGTAAATTAGATTATTTTCCCTTCCACTCTCATTTGATAACCCTTATAAGGTTCTAATGAGATTATGATACTTTGTAAACTGTAGAGTTCTATAAACATGTGAGATACTGTGGTGTATCTCTAAGAATGCCTGACCTGAAGCTAGAAATCTGGATCAGACAAAGCAAGGGGAAAGGACTCACTTTAACATGATCATAATTATTCGGCCTTAGAAAAATAACTGATTCAATAAAGTTGACTGATGGATAATCTGTTTGGTACTATTATTTATACTGGCATCTCTCCTCCGGGGAAACCTTAGGTCAGCCCTAGTGCATGAATTCATGTACCTCATTGGTGAACTGGAATACAATTCTTCCTATTATAATGGTATGTTAGAAATGATTTGTATGACAGCAGTAGGGGTACAGGCTCCTGAAAAATGGAAATCTTGTTTGAATACCCTGGCTTAGCACACAGTAGGGGATGTATAAATATTCTTGCTCTAGTATTTTTTTTTGCAAGAGTTGAATTTCTTGCAACACATACTAATATTTTTTCCCTCTGCTTAGAGCATGTTGGAAGCTCCTCCCATCATTTCTTCTTTGCTTGTCTGTTGTCTTTTTCAGACTGTGAGCCTCTTAAGGCCAGAGACTACATTTTATTTGTCTGCATTCCTGAAACCCAGTACAGCAACTGTTGGATATATAAGCATAGTTATTATATGAAAGAATGTGTAATTGTTAGTTCTCCTTTAATGCAAAGTTTTTAACTTGTCTATCACAGGCATCTTAAAATTAGGAAAACACTGTTTTATAATATTACTGAAATTTTAAAGAGCAGATTACTTTTACAGTGAGTTTCTAAAAACCTATTTCAACTTTTGAGATACCCATGCTTGGATGAGAAAAATAATTATTTTAAACACATCTTACTAGGGAAAGGTCTTAAAATGTTGTAAATAATGTATAATGACAGTTTTATTATGCCTGTTTAGAAAATGAACTTTACAAAATAAGCCAGAGCTGTGATTATGAATATCTAATACAGATGCAATCATTTATGTAAAGAGAATGTGCTAACCTCACATTGTACAAAGATGCCCATGTGACCTCCACAAGTAAAGCTAAGTGGACAACTGGAAGAAGTATGCAGCTAATTCAGGGAAAAGGGGAGAAGGGAAAAGGGAAAGTTGTTGTTTTTGTTTTGAAGGAACTTGTACTGTTACTATCTAAGGTTCCTGTGATTAAAAATACTTACTTGCAATTGTCGCAAAACAATAAAAAGCCTCCTATCAAATAAACAAAATCTTATCAACAAAAGTGTCAGGGAGGGAGACAGAACATGAGAGACTCCTAACTCTGGGAAATGAACTAGGGGTGGTGGAAGGGGAGGTGGGCGGGGGTGGGGGTGACTGGGTGACGGGCACTGAGGGGGGCACTTGATGAGATGAGCACTGGGTGTTATTCTATATGTTGGCAAATTAACTCCAATAAAAATAAATTTATAAAAAAAATTAATTAATTAAAATAAATTGAAAGAAAACAATGAAAGGTGCTTCTTGATTAGAAGACCTTTTCATTCCCTGCAATAAATAAGGATATAAATACAATGATTAAGCTATGCAGGTTAGCTGTTTTGATAGCAAATGAGGGAAAACTAAACGCTTCCTGTTTTTTAGAATCTTTCAATATGGAATTCACAAACCCAAAATCATGGAGCTGGAAGGGCTTTTGTAGATTTCTTTTACCCCTTTGAATCATGTCAAGATTCAGGCAGCATGATCTGGCAATGAAGGATAGAATTGTGCAATTAGCCAAGAGTAGCCTATCATCATAATGAATAAAAATGGAAAAGAACGGATATTTTAGAAGTTAAGTAAGTTACTGCTAACGTAAATGATGTTTAAGGAAATGAAAAAAAAGTGTGCATGCATTGGGTGTGTTTCTGTTTGTGTGTATCCCTATACAGGATTATTTTACCAATAATATTACAATAAAATGTATAATTTTAAGGACTGATTAATACCCATGTGTTTTCGAATTTTAGTATAAGGCAAAGTAAAGTTATAGCTAACAAAATAATTTTGAAAGTATATTGTAATTTTTAATTCATATTAAGACTATAGGATTTATAATAAAATATGCAGTCCATTTATTGTAACCATTGGACATTCTAATGTGATCTAGGTATCCTACTCAAATTTAAGAATTTGTATTTATTTCAGCAGATCTCATATAATTTATATAAAAAGCATATGTTGTCACTTTTAATATGAGTTATTATTTTTATCTGAGTTATTTGAATTATAGTGATTTTATTTTATTTTTTATTTATTTTTTTAATTATAGTGATTTTAAAAATTAGCTTTCTCATTTGTTTTTTATAGAAATCTATTCAGATAAAACAATATTAATGTTTTTGCACATCAAGTGAATTCTTAGTACCAACCAGTGCTATATTTAATTTCCTTTTAAGACTTAATTGACTTTTGGGGTGCCTGGATGGCTCAGTGGTTGAGCATCTGCCTTTGGCTCAGGTCATGATTCTAGGGTCATGGGATCAAGTCCCGCATCATGCTCCCCACGGGGAGCCTGCTTCTCCCTCTGCCTATGTCTCTGCCTCTCTCTGTGTTTCTCGTGAATAAATAAAATCTTAAAAAAAAATATTTAGTTGACTTTTTCATTTTCCTCTTAAATTGTTTCCTTTTAAATTGAAGACTTTAGGTAAAAACTAGGTCCGTTTATATCTGTATAGCTCTAGCACTAATCACCATTTACGACATAAATTTAGGGTTTGCCAAAACTAGTCATTGATCCTGTGCAACTGGAACATTTTGATTACTTTATTGTCACATTTCTTCTGAGGCAGAGTATTCAGAGTATCTCATTCTTGGGATCTAGTGAGGCTGCTGATGACAGAGGAGCAATTATCCCCTGCATGAAACAGAAAAAAAACCAAGGAGAGGGACAATGTTCATTCATATCGTTATATCCAAAAAAGTGTCATTTGTATCTAGAAGTATGTTTGAAATTTTATGATGCAGGTTTTTAAAATACAAAGAAATATGATAGAAAATTACCAGGTAGATTTATAGTATGCTATGTTTGTAACTTTCAGATACACATTTTCCCACTTTTCAATATCTCTGAAACTAGGAGGTATCTAACAATCTAACATTATAGATTGTTATAATTGGATTCGCAGCACTTTTTTTCCTTAGGAGTGAATAAAATAATGATGCATTATTCAATTGATGGTGTCTTTCATTCAATTAGATATGCATATGCATATCTAATATATATATATATTTATATTTTCTAGGTGAGGATACAGTTAGAAGAGACAATCTGATTGATTTCTTAAGTATTTTATGAGTTTGTCTATATCTTTTGGGATTCATTAAATAACAAATTTTCAAGTGACTATTATTCTTAGATGCTAAGGATA